AAAGATCAATCCAATCAAAGACACAGAGCCTCGTCCAGCACTCAGTGCTGCAACATGAGCGTGAGCTTTCACAGCAGTATGGGTGGAGGGAGTTGTAGTATTACTGGAACAGACTATTGTCTGACTGGACAGGGCTGTACTACTGTATGCCAATCCATCCTCTGTAGTCCTGCAGCTTTGTATAGTGGTGTTAAAAATGGCATTAATCAGAGTTTGATGTTGTTATGGCTAACAGTGTTGAGAGTAACATATTTTGGAAGTAACAAAAATGCATTTCTCACAAAAAAAAAAAGAATGCATCATTTTTTTTCCCAATTATTGCCTGGAGACCATCTACATGCTAGAGTACTTTAAGCAGACAGACAAAATGTAAATAACATAAATCATTTATATTTATTTATATCTTAAACAAACAGACGTTATAATATCCCTTCCTCGTTATTATGGCCAACAGTGTTAGAAGTAACAAACTTTTTGTAACAAATCTGAAATGTAATCTTTCTGCAATCACTCAATCAATATTTCAGATCAAAATAAATAAATAAACAAACAAACAAACAAATGAATTAATTATGGCCATGAGGCAATCTATTTTTTAATGCATGAAAGCTGACAAATCGGTTAAAAAATTATATTATATATAATTAATTTTATGCACTGTATGCAATATTACACCAAAATACACTAAAAATTTGGACTACAAGAAACAGCAATTACAGAAAGAGCAAATAAATAACAAACTGATTTAAATGTAGAAGTTTTAAAGTATATATATATATATATATATATATACCGTGTATGTGTGTGAGCATCAACGTGCAAACTTTGTGCAAGACTTATGCCGGTGAACATCTTTCACCATGAAAGTGAAAGTAAAAACTGACGGCACTTTGACGGCTATTCTCTTAGAGACGACGCGAGACGAATCTCCTACTTAATAGGTATATATATAACTGTTTTAACTTATTTCCTTAAAGGTGGGGTAAAACGCTTTAGGAAACTTAATCGGGCCGAGTGCCAAAACAAACTTTTAGCCAATCAGCAGTAAGGGGCGTGTCTACTCGTGATGCGGAGGAGAGAGCGCTCAGTGCACAGGACGGACATTAGCCAAGCCGAGCGACGACAGAAAAATAGAGATGGCGGATAAATAACAAAAGAGGAAAATGTCTGCAGAACAAAAGAAGGCTTACGATAAAGCAAGAAGTAGGACCCGTGTAAATTTCGGATCAGCTTTCCAGCGCTGGAGAGAATCAAGGAGCGGAAGGCCTGCAATCAGACACGAGGTTGCTTTGTTTCTTCTCGATAGGTGAGTAACAGTGGTTTAGCTTTGTTTCACAGAACTAATATATGCTGGCTTTTGCTTGAATATGCTCGTGTGTCATGTTCGCTTGTTTGTTCATCTGCAATCGTATTGTCGTTCCCTTCAGCTATGATAAAGACCCATTAATTTCCACACCCTATAAGCTTGGAGCGTCTAAACTTCCTCCTCTGTCTGTTTCAAGCGTCAGCTCCCAAAGTGTGGTCGAAAAGTAAGATAATATGTTTAATACAGCAGATAATAATACAGCAGATTCCACCATAATCGTTGCCTGGGTTGTGTACGTATGTGTGGGGCGGAGCTATCAAAATAGAGGCAAGACCCTTTTGGGGTAGGGGCGTTTTTTTTTTGGTGATTTCAAATGTCAACATTGGCTACCAGAAATCGCTTACCCCACCTTTAAGCTTTCATTTTTGCTTTTCTATTTTTTCTTCATTTCCTTATATATGCCTTTATATTTCTATTCTCCAAGATTATTTGAATTATTTATCCTGCTTTAATGCAAGAGTATAGCATAAGTTTATAAACTCAATGCAATGACTTGTTTGCGTTCTTTATTATTTTGTTTATAAGACTAACCAAGACGCTAGTAAATGTGTGTGGTCTTTTATTTCTTCAGTGTTTTGGTCTACCGAGGCCTGATTACTGCCAGACCTGTTGAATCAAGAAATCACTTAAATAGAACCTGTCTGATAAAGTGAAGCATGTTTAAAGAGCAATACATCATGCCACTATCTAAAGAAACTCAAGAACCGATGAGAAACAAAATAGTTGACATGTATAAGTCTGGAAAGGGTTATGAAGCCATTTCTAAGGCTTTGGGACTCCAGCGAACCGCAGTCAGAGCCATTATCCACAAATGGAGAAAACTTGGAACAGTGTGAACCTTCCCAGGAGTGACTGGCCTACCAAAATTACTCCAAGAGCACAACGACGACTCATCCATCCAATAAACAATATGAAAAAAAAAAATAAAAATAAAAAATCATAATTATTATAAAAATTCCAACACCAGGTTGTCCAAAGGCCTTACACAGAAACCGAACAAAAGATGCTAAAAGATCTCATCATGTAGTTTGGTGTGTCTATAGATCAGTGATCCATCAGCTCAAAAGGTTGCCATGGGAAAAACTGATTGTGGAACAGAAATGAGAATCTGCTGTAACGGATGCTGCCAATGAAGACCCTGCTTCCCATTCCATCCTGTCTCCCATAGAGACCACATTATTACTCCCACAGTTTGTTCATCACTATCCTGTTCCCAAACCTCTCTAATTGATTTTCCCAGTCTCTCTGTTTGGTTGGAATACAAAAGCAGGGCTGCGAAGCTCAACTATATTAATAGCGTTCAACAGGCAAATGCACTGGTGAGATTTCACTGGGATTGGTGTCAAATTTGACTATGGTGACAACGCTAGAGCTTTACATCCACTCAGAGCATCGGGCTGCTGTGTGTGAATGTTTATATTCTTGAAGGACAGTCCCAAACACACACACACACACACACACACACACACACATAAGCACAGCCTTTGACACAATTACAGTGGTGCCTTGTGATCAGACGGACACAAAGCTCGCCTTGTCTCACATTTCACTATGCAGATACGGATCTCATAAAGTAACCACTTACTGTATCTTTGTTGTTGATAAACCTGCAAAGAGCCTCTTCAATGATGGTTCACATGTACGCACACAGACAGATTGTCAAAATGACACGAGAGTGAAAAAAAGGCATTTCCAGGAATGAAACATTTACTAATCGAGAAAATCAAAGCTTTAAAGTGCTGCAGTAAATCTGAGGAGCTTTTACCATGTCATAACTTTCAACCTTTGTCCATCATAACAATATTTAGCAAACACACATGTTATGAGTGGACTGCACTGTACAGACACACAAAGAGCTGAAACACTTGAATTCAATCTCTATGAATCAGCAATGGAAAAAAGTATGTAGTTAAAAAAAACAAAAAAAAAAATTTATTATGAGGAATCAAACTTGCTCATGTCTTTAGAAATAAATCTTAATATAAAATCATACTGTAACTCATAACCTGCTTGCTTGCAAAAAAAGACTGAATCTAAGCTGCAATAACGGGTCATTATGAACTTCCACAATTATCTTTACAGCGGCACTTTTCAATAGCTATTCATAGTTTTATGAATCTGGCACAATGTAATAATAAACTGCACTTGTCCGGTGCAGTTTATTATTGTATGCAAGCATTGTGAATCTTTTCATATGTGAAAAGGGTGTTTAAATACATTTTAAAAAATGAATCCATCACTGGCATAAAAAGTTACAATTGATAATATCATAAATTTAAATATACACAATATAATAATATACAAAAATGTAAATATTATAATAAAAAGTATATACAATAATATAATATAATAAACAATGTAAAATAGAATAAATATTATAAAAGATTATATTATACATATATTTATTATATTATTAATCTAAGACAGACAGACAGATAATTAATAATATAATAAATGTATTTTCATAGAATATTTGTATTTCATAAATATTCTAATAAAAATTATATATAAAAATATTTTAAAAATTATAATTAATATTATAATACAACAACAACAACAAAAAATATATATATATAAAAGTTCAGTTTCTTCTATACACAACTACACAACCTGTGAGAGTTTGTTGGAGTCTTTTGAGACCTCAAGGGCAGGGCTAAAAAAAATCCCATCAATGATTGACAAGGCATGATTGACTCTCGTTGATTGACAGCTCATGAGGAAGGGTTGAGGAATGTTGAAGTGAGAACCTCAATGAACAATCCAATTCCTTCTGCTCTTTCGTAAAGGGACACTTACTTGTATTGCACCCAGAATATTAAAATATTGTCATTTACTGCTGGTCATGATTTTCTAAACCAGGGGTGCCCAAACTCGGTCCTGGAGGGCCGGTGGACTGCAGAGTTTAGCTTCAACTTGCCTCCACACACCTGCCTTCAAGTTTCTAGTATGCCTAGTAAGAGCTTGATTAGCTGGTTCAGGTGTGTTTAATTGGGGTTGGAGCTAAACTCTTCAGGACACCGGCCCTCCAGGACCGAGCTTGGGCACCCCTGTTCTAAACCCATATGACTTTCTTATGTGGAACACAAGAGGAGATGTTTTGAAGAATCTCAGTATATGAATCATACTACTCGTTTTTCTTCTTCAGAATTCTCCTCCTCTTGTGCTTGAGTTTAGAAAGACATGGAGGTGAGAAAACGTTGACAAAATGCTCATTTTGAGGGAAACTATTCCTAAAACCAAATAACAGTACATTTACAATTACACAATCTAACAAAAAACAACCTTAAACTCGCTTAGGCTTATGAAATTATGTAAATACGTATTGAAATGCATGTACAGTTGTGTGACTTTGTATTGTAGTGTAAAGTGTGGGCGAAGGGGCGAAACCTATCAATACTTCACACGCGATCAATCACTGTAACAGGTCGATTGCAGCTGAGCTGTCACTTCTCCAAATGAACACCCAACTTCTGAATAAAGTCTAAACTGCCTGCCTGTCTGTCTCCTGAGGGAAAGTCGCGCGTTTCTGGAGAAAGACTCGAGTGAGCTAACACAAGTAGCGCTAGGGCTAGATCATCACTGAGGCCTCTGAGCGCTCACAATCTGTCAAAGAGCTCGTTTTAACGTCGCTTACCTCGATCTTGTCCACGTTCCGCGCGCAGCCGACCACCTTCATGCCGTGCTGCACGAGAGCGCGAGCCACAGCCGCTCCGATCCCGACAGACGCTCCGGTGACCAGCGCTACTCTCCCCTTCCAGCGCTCCATCATCAGAGCAGACGCGGCAGATACAGTGTATCACAGTCAGCGCGGCGCGATGTCACAATGTAACAACGAGTTCTAAACCGCGCCGGACTGAAACAATGTATCACAACTGCGCGCGGCTGTTACTTTGTGTCAGTGTCGCCAGCGCAGTAATATATCTCTGACTCAGAATGGTATCAGGGAACGTGTTTGAGGCGGGTTCAAATCACTCCAGCCCTCCCTGATCTTCTGCCGTTAACACCCAGGAACAGCTCGACACACACGGATCCAATCCCCGCAGGACCCCAGATTAATTATTAACGGCGGCGGAGATAAGAAAAAAACAAACAAAAACAAGCTTTAGGTTGCTGTCGCCGCCCGCACGTTTCCCCCCCCAGTCATAAATTGATACTGTTGTACACGAACGCTGTATTGAACGCGTGTATAGAAAGTTTGTTTGCATAAACCACTCAAAAAAACAAACAAAAAAAAACTTTATAAAAAAAAATATTATATAATCAATTAAAGTTGCCGGAGGAGCTAAGTATGACAAGTAAAATAAACGTACAATATCAAATAAATACTTTGTAAAGTTACATTTTTTTTTTAGTATCATTGAAATATTTTTATAGTTTTTATTAATAGTTTTTAAATTTCCTGTTTTAATTGTAATTTTTGTTAAAGTTCTAAAAATGTTGTCATTTTAATATTTGTTTAAATATGTCTATGATTTTTAGTAATTTTTATTTCAGTTTTAGCGAATACAATTAAACTAAATGAAAATGAGAAATATTGCCTTGGCAACTACATGAAATAAAACAAGTTTTGAAATATTTTTTTATATTTATTTCAAAAATTTTATTTATGGTTTTAGTTATCTGGATCAGCCTTCTTATTCTTATTTCTGTCACTGTACAACCTTTTTTTCAGTTTTCAGCAATTTTTTAGCTCACTCTGATAATCTGTACTTTTATAGTAAGAGGAAAAATCAGAACAAAACACACCATCTAGTGGCTGCCTAGTTTTAACAATTAACAAGGCTTATGATGATAATACAAGTTTAGAAGTGTAAAAAAAAAAAAAAGTAAAATTGTTTTAGCAACCTTTATATGAACTTAAGTCATTTTATATGTTAACCAAATAGGATATTTACAAACCTACACAACAATACAAACACTAAAGATACATGTTTCTATTTTTTTTTTTAAATCCAATTACACACAGAAAATACATTCAAATCTGATGCATATTAATAAATATTATTTATTTTGTAAATTTTGCACATTGCTTTCAACATCACATTCAGTCATCTTTATAAATGGATGTTTTCATCTTCCTGTAAAATCTTTTTACTCAGATAATTATTTCTGTACACATTTATCGGTACAATTCTTGCCACTAAAACTGTCACAGTCAGTGAAAATTTGGGAGAAAAAAAACACAAAACAAAGAAATGTTTAATAAACAATACATTAAGACTACCAACACCTAACCCTACAGTCAAGGCCTGCAAGCTTCATGATCAATTTAACAACTGTGTTCCTAACGACCTGCTCCCTAATCAGTGTGTTGAGAGAGAAAGGAATACAAAGCCAGCTGTGATTGGTTGAGAAGGATTGAGCGTGAAAGAGGAGGGGCCTGAAGGGAAAGACGTGTATATAGATGCAAAAGACGTGTAACATTACCCAACAAACATGAACATCATCAAATACAGCGCTGAAATTGATTCTCTTACCCATTTCATATTCCTAAACTCAATGCAGCAGTGATCATGAGTGTTTTGACGCTCTATAAAAATAAGTGTGAGTTAGTGTGCGGCGGTGGGTCTAGTTGACGCTGGTGGCCGGCAGCCACTCTCCGCGGCAGTATTTGGTGAAGCGATCTTTAAGGTGCTGTCTGTACTTGTCTCGTGTGCGGTAGAATGATTTGTTGTTCTCTACGAACAACTGGATCTCGTCCTGCGTCAGACAGTTCTCTTCATCTGAGGTCACTTCAGATTCATTCTGTGCACAAAGAAATTACAGCAAAAAGTCACTACTTGCAACTATTTCAACAAACAAACAGCAGCGAGTAATAAACAATTTCACAATTCATTTTTAATTAACTGACACGACGAGTACATTATTAAACTGGAATACATCCTAGAGGTCTGTAATCAAATAACATTTTTAATTTAATATTTAATATAAAACTTGATGTACTATTTACTATAAAATTTTGTTTTAAAAATCACTGATCATCAGTCTATCACTGTTCAACAGTCTCCAGCAATATTTTACTATTGAGTGTGTCAATCTATTAGAGGTAGACTTAAGAGGCGGCTCAAACTTATTGTTGTTAATGTTGAATATTAAAAATCTTTTTCGGAGACTGAAATAAAGCTGTAATAAAATATTATTATATGAAAAACTTTAAAATTGCTTTCTGAGAAACTACCTGAAAAAAAAAAAATGAAGTTTAGCAACTGTCGAAAGGTAAAAAATTCGTATTACTACAACTAAAATGAAAATTATAGACATTTAAAAAGACCAAAAACGAATATAAACTATTTATTGTTGCCTTGAACTGAAAAGTTGGAGTTCTAAAAAAATCTTAAGTACTAAAACTGTTAACATTGGAAAAAATAAAGCTATATGGAAATATTTAAAAAGAAAAAAAGTAATGAGAATGACAAAAGCACATAAAACTACTAAAGCTTAAACTAAAATGAACTGAAAAGCTCAATTAAAAGTAGGGATGTACCGATACCATTTTTTCATAATCTGATTCTGATACCACTCTTTTATGTGTTAAACACAATCCATGAAATACACACTACTTTGTATAATATATTACAAAGTACGTTAGTTGATAAATCAGCAGCAAAAGTAATGCTACTACAAACAAATTTTGCGTACACATTCTATAAAATCTAAACATTTGGTGAAAAAAAAAAAAAAGCATCGTTTATTGGGAGAAAAATAAAAGTGAACTTTAGATAGTGCTAATTCTGGTAAAAGATTGCCCAGAGTTTTAATGAGCTTTAATTTCACAACCCCAATTATTTTGCCTTTCTTGAAATGGCAAAAGAAAAAAGCCATATTGGAGCCCATAATGATTATATCGTTGTATAAATATAATAGTAAAATAACACTGGTTCACAAAAATGTGACAGCTTGTGGTATCAGCTATCAGACTCACCAGTAACTCCATGAGGCTCTTGGCGCAGGTGTCCGGTAAGACAGGCTGACTGTGGAAGTGTCTGCTGCTGCTCACATGATGGCTGAAGCTCTCATAGGATTCACAGCATGGAGTTTCTTTGCTTCTGCAGGGGTGCGGTGAAGGGGAGGGAGACTCGTGAACGGCAGGAGATCCAGATCCTCTCCTACTGCCATCAGACACAAAGCTCTCCTCTGCTTTAGATCCCTACAAGAGACAGGAAAAGATCACAACCTGCGACTTGATGGCATGCATCATTTAATACAACACTAATATTTCAGTTAAATATTTTGATTGTTGTTGAATCAGATGAGATATATATATTTCTACCTTATTTTTTATTTGTCTTTATAAATTCATTTATTTTTTCTCTTTATTATGATATATATGTGCTATGCTATGTAACCAGTAACGGCTTATTTAAAAAAAATAAAATTAAAAAAATAAAAACAGTTGTTCAACAAGATCAATTTACCATGTGTTCTGCAAGTGAACGTCGCTTTATTGTTCATCCCAAAGAGGCACAAAATCACTTTCACGGACTTTTAAATGAACTGTTCCCTCCTAGTGGAATGACCTGCCCAACTCAATCCGACCTTCAAGAATCGGCTAAAAACACATCTCTTCCATCTTTATTTGACCCTCTAACTCTAGCACTCTCTATTCTTTAAAAAAAAAAAAAAAAAACTTGTCCCTTTTAGACTTGCGCTCTATTCATTTACTAACGGCTTGTTTTCTTACAAAAAAAAATAAAAATAATAACACTAGCTTCTCTAATCCTTTTGTATTCTATTTATTGGTTTTCTTTTTATTTATTATACAATTAACAAAAGCAAAAAAGGCCTCTAACACTAGCTTGTTCTATTCTTTTTCTATTCTATCTGTTTTCTTTTTATTTATTATATAATAAAAATAAAAAAAACGTGTACATGTAGAGTTGCATTAATCTAACTGAGACTTGTTATAGCACTTGCGTATCATTGCTCTTTTGTTGATTCTGATTGCTTCCATTGTCCTCATTTGTTAGTCGCGTTGGAAAAAAGCGTCTGCTAAATGACTAAATGTAAATGTACCTGAGAAGCATCTAATTGAAGCAACCCATAAGAAAGCACTTGGCTACTTTGTCCAAAACAAGTGTGAACTCACATGCTCGCTCCTGCAAAGTGACGCTTTGTTTTTTCTTTTCTTCTTTTTATTTTTGCCCTTTGTGTTGTCTTCTGAGTTTGCCCAGCACTCCACACAGCTGTCCACAGCATCCTCTTCCTTCTCCTCTGAGCAGCGGTGACTACATGAGTATTCACCTGGAGATAACCACAAACATGATCACTATCAAATGTCTATCAAAGCAATCTTCTATATATGATCCTGGCTGCACATAAAAATGTCAGGAGTGCTTGCACAACAGCAAGCTCAGATCTGATTGGCTGGCTGTACTCAGTTGTCTGAAATCTTGATACACTTTTAGAATAGATCTGGAGATTAACAAATACATATTCAATGTATTTGGAATATGTACAAGGTAACCCCAGTGAAAATAAAAAATACTAAAATGAAGCTAAAATACATTAATTTTGTGCCAATTCCTGCATTCGTTTTTTTAATCTTGTGCTTAATGCACTTTAATTGTGCGGAAGTAGTGCTGATGTCCAACATATAGATATTATTTAAGTATATTTGATTGTGCTAAAGTGGAACTATTGCTATTATACCTTAGGTACACTTTAAATATCTGGTATTATACAGAGATCATCTGATATTAAAACACATTTAAGCCATAATATTAAGAAATGCGCATCTTGCAATAAAGAAACACTCCAAAAAGGGTTTAATTATACAGTCATTTTTATCAGTAAGTCTTAAGTGATCTATCACTAGATATATTAATGGGTTTGAAGTTTACTTAATATGAAATGTTTTTTAAATTATGGCACAGGGCTATACTTTTTACTAGGGAATCTCCAGGTCTATTCTAAAAATGTATTAAATAATAAAATTATTATGATTGTATTATTGTTTAATTTTTATAACAGTTAGCAGTTTTACTGAAAATACTGTAACATTGCTGTAGTGTTCACCTTGCCAGAACATTTGTTTTGCTAACAGTATATAATGGATTATAATGGGTAAGGTAATAAATAGAAAAGATTTTAAAACAGTTTAATCTCAAAT